GCATTTTTTCATATGATTAGTGATAATTTTGATTATTTCCTCTGAAAACTGGCTGGTCATATCCTTTGATCATTTGTTAATCGGAGAATGGTTCTTATTTTTATGTTTGACTCAGTTCCCTATAGATTTAAGAAATGAGACCTTTATCAGAGAAACCTGCTTTAAAATGTTTTTCCCATTTTTCTGCTTTTCTTCTATATTTGGCTGCACTGGTTTTGTTTCTGCAAAATCTTTCTATTTTTACATAACAAAAATTATTCATTTTGCCTCCCGTGAACCTCTCTATCTCTTGTTCAGTCATGAACTCTTCCCTATCCATAGACCTGACAAATAATTTTTTCCAAGCTCCCCTAATTTACTTATGATATCACCCTTTATGTCTAAATCATGTAACTATTTTGAGCTAATCTTTGTATATTATATGAGATGTTGGTCTATGCCTACTTTCTACCAGACTCAATACAATGTTGATATTTTAAAGAAATAATGTCAATGAATATATCCTTTGCATGGCCTCTTCTTGTCCTGGAATGCCCACCCTAGACAGCTTCTCCTCACAGAATTCCTCCTTTGTTTTAAGACTCATGAAGCCTTTTCCACTCCTTCAACAGCCAGGGTCCACCATGCTTATTTATTATTTGTATTTATTTTGCATTCCTAAAAGAGTTAAAGAAAGGGCTTTTTTAAAAGAAAAGATTTTAAAAACCAAATGAGAGCTATGGAAGAAAGATATGGAAGGAGAATTAACAGTTTGGTAAAAGAAACAGAAATCCTTACTGAAGAAAATAACTCTTTGGAAATTAGCAATGACTAAACAGAAGCTAAAAAGTCTACGAGACATCAAGAAATAATAAAAATGAAGCCAAAAGACTAAAAAAAGAAGGAAATGTGAAGCATTTCACAGCAAAAACAAATGGCCCAGAAAAAAGTCAAAGAAAGATAATTTAAGACTCAAGATCAAAGAAATTTAAAACTCAATGGACTACCTGAAAGCCATGAACAAAGAAAAGAGCCTAAACGCTATATTTCAAAAAATCATAAAACAAAACTTCCCAGATATTTTAGAACCAGAGGACAAAGTAGAAATTGAAAGAATCCACTTGTCACCTCCTGAAAGAACCTCACCTCCAAAAAAAACCTCCCAGAAATATTAACTCCCAGAAATATTCGCCAAAATTCAGAGCTCCTAGGTCAAGGAAGAAAAAAAAAACAAAACACTGCAAGCAGCAGCTAAAAAGAAAGAATTCAAGTACCATGGAGCAGTCAGTATCACGCAAGATTTAGTAGCTACCACTATAAGAAACAGAAAGCTTGAAATATTGTATCCCAGAAGACAAAAAAACCCAAAAAAACCTAGGTTTACAACCAAGAATAACCTCCTTAGAAAAACTGAGTATAATACTACAGGGGAGGAAATAGTTCTTTAATGAAATAAAGGACTTTGAAACATTCCTAATGAAAAGCCCAGAGTTCAGTAGAACATCTGACATGTAAACACAATCATCATAACAAGCACAAAAAAAGGTAAATATGAGTGAGAAATCATCAGGAACTAAAAGAAGTTTTAAATTGTTTACATTTTTATATAGGGAGATGATACATGTCACCCATCAGAAGTTTATCATTACCAGAGGTCTTAGAAGGAATCTAGACAGAAAGTCTAGTTATGATGCTAACAGTGTGGATGATCTGAAAAGAAGAATGGAAATGGAAGAATGGAAAACAGGTATGCACTGAGAAATGGGAAGAATGAAGAGGAAGAATGGGGAAATTTTGTTTAAGGAAGAATTTAAACAGTGGAAGGGACAGTTAGAGTAGGCTATACTTGAACCTCACTGTCAAAAATTTAAACTGGTGCAAGGTAGGAAAATACACACAGTTGAGTACAGAACTCATCTTATCCAACAGGGAAGCAAGAGAGAAAGAGGTTGAGGGAAAAGGAGAGAGGGGCCTAAGAGGAAATCTAGAATAAATGAAAAAGTAGTCAGAAGCAAAACAGACTTTTTAAAAAATAAACTGACGTATTAGTAATTTCTTGGACAGTATTTATTTTTAATATTATTTAATATTTTATTTTCCCCAAGTACATGTAAAAAGAATTTAAACATTTTTTTCAAATTTTGAGTTCCAAATTCTCTCTCTCTCTCTCCTACCTCCCCCATTGAAAAGGCAAGCAATTTGACATAGGTTATACATGTGTAGTCATGCAAAACACATTTCCATGTAATTCATTCTGTGAAAGAAAACATAGCACCCCTCCCCCCCCAAGAACAACAACAACAACAAGAAAAATAAAGAAAATAAGGAAAAAGCATCTTTGATCTGCATTCTGGCTCTACCAGTTCTTTCTCTGGACAGCACTTTTCATCATAAGTCCTACGGAATTGTCTTGGATCATTGTATTGCTGAGAATAGCCAAGTTATTCATAGTAGATCATCATACAATATTGCTGTTGCTGTGTATAATGTTCTCCTGGTTCTGTTCATTTCAGTTTGCATCAGTTCACTTAATCTTGTCATGCTTTCCTGAGAGCATCCTGCTCATCATTTCTTAAAGTACAATAGTATTCCATCACAATCATATACAGCGACTTGTTTAGCCATTCCCCAATTGATGGACATCCCTTCAATTTCCAATTCTTTGCCACCACTAAAAGAGCTTGCTATAAATATTTTTGTACACGTAGGTTTTTTTCCTTTTTGATTTTTATCTCTTTGGGATATAGACCTAGTACGGGTATTGCTTGATCAAAGGATATGCACAGTTTTATGGCCATTTAAGCATAGTTACAAACTGCTCTCCTGAATGGCTGAATCAGTATACAACTTCATCAATAGCACATTAGTGTTTTAATTTTCCCACATCCCCCTCCAACATTTGTCATTTTCCTTTTCTGTCATATTAGCCAATCTGACAGGTGTAAGGGAGTAGCTCAGAGTTGTTTTAATTTGCATTTCTTTCATCAATAGTGATTTAGAGTATTTTTTCATATGATTATAGATAGCTTTGATTACTTTGTCTGAAAACTACCTGTTCATATCCTTTGACCATTTATCAATTGAGGAATGGCTCTTATTTCTATAAATTTGACTCAGTTTTCCATATGTTTTAGAAATGATGTTTTTATCAGAGAAACTCACCATAAAATTTTTTTTCACAGTAATGACTACCAACTATGTATTTCCCTCCATCCTATTTCCCCCCTGTTTATCCTACTCTCTCTCTCTCCTTTTACCCTGTCCATTCTCAAAAGTATTTTGCTTCTGACTTTTACCTCCACCAATCTGCCCTCCCTTTTTTTAGCTCCCTCCCCACCCTTCTCCTATCTGCTTCCCTCCCTACTTTCCTGTAAGGTAAGATAAGATTTCTACTCCCAACTGAGTGTGTATATTACTCCCTTTTTGAGCCAATTCTGATGAGAGTAAGGTTCAGGTGCTCCCCCCTCCCCACTTCCCCCATCTTCCCCTCCCCCACTGTAAAATCTCTTTCAGGCCTCTTTTATGTCAGATAATTTATCCCATTCTGCCTCTCCCTTTCCCTTCCCCCAGGGCATTCTTCTTTCTCATCCATTACTTTTATTTTTTTTAGATAATATAGCATCACATTGAACTCACACATCTGCTTTCTGTCTACATACACTACAACTGCCCTGATAATGAGAAAGTTTTTTGGAGTTATAAATATGATTTTCCCATGGAGGAATATAAACAGTTTAACCTTATCGAATCCCTTATGATTTCCCTTTCCTGTTTATCTTTTTTATGCTTCTCTTGAGTCTTATATCTGAAAGTCAAATTTTCTATTCAACTCTGGTCTTTTAATCAGGAATGCTTGAAAATCCATTCTTTCATTGAATGTTCATTTTTTTCCCTGAAGGATTATACTCAGTTTTGCTGGGTAGGTGATTCTTGGTTGTAATTCTAGTTCTTTTGCCCTCTGAAATATCATTCCAAGCCCTCTAATCCTTTAATGTAAAAGCTCCTAAATCTTTTGGGATCTCTTTTAGGAGGTGATCAGTGGATTCTTTCCATTTCCATTTTACCGAGTAACAGAACAGTTTTCCTTGATGATTTCTTGAAAGATGATGTCTAGGCTCTTTTTTTGATCATGACATTCAGGTAGTCCAATGATTTTTAAATTATCGCTCCTGAATCTATTTTCTAGGTCAGTTGTTTTTCCAATGAGCTATTTCACATTTTCTTCTATTTTTTCATTCTTTTGATTTTATTTCTTGATGTCTCATAAAGTCATTACCTTCCACTTGCCCAATTCTAACTTTTAAGGAATTATTTTCTTCAGTGAGCTTTTATACCTCCTTTTCCATTTTGCCAATTCTACTTTTTAAGGAGTTCTTCTCTTCAGTGAATTTTTGTATATCTTTTTTCCATTTGGCCAGTTCTGCTTTTTATGGCATTCTTCTCTTCATTGGATTTTTGTGCCTCTTTTACCATTTAGCCTATTCTTTTTTTTAAGGTGTTATGCTCTTCAGTATTTTTTGTGCCTCCTTTACCAAGCTATTGACTGTTGTCATGTTTTTCTTGCATCACTATCATTTTTCTTCCCAATTTTTCCTCCACCTTTCTTACTTGATTTTTAGAAATCCTTTCTAAGCTCTTCCAAGGCCTGAAACCAATCCATATTTTTCTTTGAGGCTTTGGATGCAGGAATTTTGACTTTGTTGTCTTCTTCTGAGTACGTATTTTGATCTTCCTTTTCACCATAATAACTTTCTATGGTCAGAATTTTTTCTCTCCTTCGCTCATTTTCCCAGGCCATTTCTTAACTTTTAAGTTAAAATAGGGCTCTGCTTCCCAAATGGAGGGGGCACTGTCCCAAGCATCATGTTTTTGTGCAGCTATTTTCAGAGGCAATTACCACTTGACACTTACTAGCTGTGTGACCCTGGGCAAGTCATTTAACCCCGATTGCCTCCCCAAAAAGGAAAAAATTAAAAATCAAAAAAAAAAAACCTCTTGGGAAAACTGAAAAGAAGTCTTACTGGAACTAGGTACAGATCAATATCTCCCATTGTATACTAAGATAATCTCAAAATGGGTACATTAGATTTAAAGAGTGACATCATAAAGAAATTAGTGAAGCATAAATGAAATTTGCCTTTCAGATCTATAGACAGGGGGAGAGTTCATGACCAAATGAGATTCACAGGAGGTAAAATGTATAATTTTAATTACATAAAATGGAAAAGGTTTTGCACAAACAAAATCAATGCAGCTAAAATTAGAAGGAAAGCAGGAAACTGGGGGGGAATCTTTGCAGCAAATTTTTCTGATAAAGGTCTCATTTCTAAGATATAAAAGGACTTTAGTCAAATATACACTAAGAGCCATTCCTCCATTAATAAATGATCAAAGGATATGAATATGCAGTTTTCAGAGGAGGAAATCCAAGTTATATTTATCATATTAAAAAAGCTCTAAATCATTAATGATTAGAGAAATGCAAATTAAAACAACTCTGAGGTACCATCTCATACCTATCAGATTGGCTGACATGACAGAAAAGGAAAATGACAAAGGCTGGAGGGGCTGTGGGAAAACAAGTATACTAATGTACTACTTACTGGTGGAGCTGTGAACTAGCCTAACTATTCTGGAATGCAATTAGGAACTATGCCCAAAAAGCTATTAAACTGTGTATACTCCTTGATCCAGCAATTCTACTACTAGGTCTATACCCCAAAAAAGATCACAGAAAGAGGAAAAGGACCAAAATGTACAAAAATATTTATAGCAGCATTTTTTGCAGCAGCAAAGAATCAGAAACTGAGAGGATGCCCATCAACTGAAGAATGGATGAACAAGCTATGATACATGAATGTGATAGAATACTACTGAGCAGACATGCTGAAGGGCATGGTTACTGATGCAAAGTGAAGTGAGTAGAACCAAGAGAACACTTCAAACAATAACTTTAATACTGTAATGAAAATCAACTGTGAGAGACTTAGTAACTCTGATGAACATAATGACTAAAGATAATGCCAAAGGACTCATGATGAAACATATTACTTACCTCCAGATAGAGAGCTGACAGATTCAGAGTATTTTCTTATCTTTCTTTTTCTTTATTTTTTTGGGGGGAGGAGGGGAAGGGAACATGGTTAATGAGGGAATTTATTTTGTATGACTATACGTATTTGTAATGGGTTGTGTTTTTCCTGCTTTTCTCAATGGGGGAGAATGGAAGAGAAAGGAAGTTAATTCAGAACTGAAAATAAAATTGAATTCAATTTTTTAAAAAGACTGCTCCTCCACTAAAATCCTCCTCCCCTTCCACAGTGTGGCATGGAGGTGACTCATTCTTAAAGGCTACACAGGCAGAGCAAAATCTCTGGCAAGTTTCACTAAGCTAGAAAGACTCTGAGAAAGCTCAATGATGGAATGTTATCCAAAGACCAACCCAGATAGTTGGGCTTGTTTAGATGGGCTCGTTACCCATATGGCACAAGCACAAGGTGAGAGATCTTATGACCATGGCAACTCATCAAACAATCTACTAAGGCATACTGGGACAGAAGGAATACCTACATCACCAAAATCACAGTGCTTTTGAAGTAATAAAGAAGTATGCTATGACTAAGTGGGTGGCCATCAACTGGGAAATTGCTAAAAAAAATTGTGGTACATGAATGTAATGGAATATTATTGTGCCATAGTAAGTAACAAACATGAGGAATTCAGGGAAACATGGGAAAACCTGTATTAACTAATGTAGAGTGAAGTAAACAAACCCAGGGTAATAACATACACAACTACAAAATATAAATAAAAAGAATGTTAAAATGAAGCCAAATGTCCAATCATTCTAATAACCAATCTTTGCCTCAGAGATGAGGCCATGGATTCCTCTTCCTTTCTTAGAGATAAGGAAGACCAAGTGTGTAGAATGCTGCACACACTATCAGATTGGTCTCCATAATAACTAGTTTTGAGTCTTTGTTACAAGGGAAGGCTCACAGGATGGAGGGGTGGGGGGAAAATATATCCAGGAATGATTATGATGTAAAAATAAAAGACATCAATTAAACTTATTAAAGTGTATCAATGGTCCAGAGAGAGAACTGGTGAACTCTAAGTGCAGACTGACGTATTTTTTTCACTTTTTCTGCTACATGGTTTATGTGGAAATATGTTTTGCATGACTTCATAAGGATAATGTGTATCATGTTGCTTGTCTTCTCAATGTGGATGGGAGAGGGAAGGGAGAGAATCTGGAACTGAAAGTTTAAAAACAAATGCTATACTATAAAAATAAAAAATAAAGGGAGAAATAATAAAACAAAGTGAATAGGGTAGGAGTTAATTGAATCAACCAATTAACCAGTCCAAATTTATATAACTAACAAATACTCTAGCCCTGGTACCTTCATCAAGTAAGCAAGCATACCTCTACTGAACCAATGTAGATGTCAAAAAATCCTTGGTCAATTTGGAAAGCGTGAAGGCCACTAGATGAAGTGAGGTGATTTCATACTGGAATTGTATTGGGATCAGCTAAGAAGAATCAGGCATGCCTTGTGGAGTTTACATATAATAGCAAATTAGTTTAGATCCTAGAATTTGGGTGGCTGGTCAGCTCAGTGGTAGGAGCCATTCCAGTCCTCAATGAAATCAGACTTGAGAAGAAGACTTCAGATGTGAAAAGTTAACCCCACTCTAATCATATCATAATACAAGAATTTTCCTGTATTTTGCTGAGGCCAAGAACAATGAAAATAACTATAAAGAGAAGAAGTACATACTTAACAGAGGTTTTAAAGACCCATTTTTTTCATTTTACTAAAGTGTTTGTTTCTTGTGCTTTGGTTAACACATCTATATTAGTTACAAAACTTGGGTTTACCATGTAAATTCTGTATTATCACAAAACTAGCTTTCCTGACATCTTGAAAGATTCAATTCAAAAACATTTTTGAGACCCTACAATGTGCAAGACACTGTGCTAAACAGCAGAGATGAGAATATGAAATTAGACAAGATCCCTGCCTTACAGAAGCATACAATCTTATAGTAAATAAGAGAGATGAAAGTAGATTTCCTAGTATAGGGTTCTGTATCTCTCAGAAAGGGGACTTTACTAAAATCAGCCTCTCTACTTACCTTGTATTTGGTAGCAGTTGGAGTATTCAATATGGTTGGGTGAGAAATGTCTGATTCTTTAGTGTTGGCAAAATTAACAGACTTTTTCAAGAAATTATCAAAATTTTTCTCATTGGGGAATTCAGTAGTAATAAAGGATAATTCAACTTTGTCTGTTGTGAAAAAAAGCATATTTGTCAATGTCAACATAAAAGCTTTTCAAGAATATACCTTCAAACAGAATTAAGACTAATAAAAGAAATATATTCATTTGAAATACACCACCAGATTAAATCCGACTATCTCCATGGAGTTCTCTTCCACATCTCTTGTCACTTCATCTCCATGAGACTTAGTTTCCTCCCCTGTAAAATGAAGAGACTACACTACATGATATGCAAGGCCCCTTGCAACTCTGACATACATTCTATTGTTCTACCTGCTTGAATCAGGGCCAGTCCACGTGCCAGCAGGCTGGACACACTTCTCACCACAATATGGAGAAAAATCTAATATGGCTCCTGTGTAATAAAGCCATGTACAAAAATCACTTAAGGTCAGCTCTGTTCTCCAACCTATAGGCTGGATCAATAAACCACCTTAAGTTTGTGTGGGTATAAAAGAATTCATTTTTTGCCTCTCATGCAGGAAAACAGGGAGAGATTATTCCCCTCACCTCATAACCAATTAAAAAAGAGGCAACTGAGGGTAATTCTTCTGTGTCTTACAAACCAGAAGAAGGAAAATGAGCTGTGTGTATCCCTGAATATGTCAGAGGGCAGAAAAATGATTCACAGTACCACTATTTCCTGTTATAAATTACAAATCAGTAACTTACGTTCTTGCTCTCTCTTAATTATGAAGGAAAGGTGAATCAAAATCTTAATATCATTCTGATAAAAACAATGAACTACATAGTTGAAAAATATTTTTAGTAGATAGGCAGCGCCATAAATTAACATCCCTGGTCTCTCTAATCTCTCCAGTCTTAGTGGAATTTTCCAGTACCTGTTCTCTGAAAATGGACCTTGATAAGCCTTGATCAACACTAAATGAACTGATAAAAATAAATACTGTTTTTATGCAAATCTCCTCAATAAAAATAAAAAGCGGAAAAAAGAAACAGGAACTACAGCTACTATTTAAAGCTGTACCATTACAACAAAGAGGAAGTCAAATTAAAAAAGACATTCACGAAAAAAAAAACATCCTGATAGCTTGGTGTACTACAAATTAGGAAAATATAAACACAATTACTTCAAAAGAAAAGCATTAACATGCAGTTATGTTGCATTCCTTGAGGAGATTTGCAAAGGACACTCTGAAGAGGAGGAATAACTCCCTTGTACTCTAGCTGTATCACGAGGAGGGTCAGACTACTTGGATCCTGAATCCAGGCCTTATTCTTACCACAAAAGAAGTGTAAAGGAAACTTTTCCCCTGGGTCTTAACTAAATACACTTTTCATCAGATACTTACAGTTGAGAATGTAGAGGCAGAAAAGAGATGGATTTGTTTGCTCAGCTAAGTAAAATAGTCTTTCAGGTGGATGTGCTGTAAAATTCATTTCATATATGGCTATCTTCTGAAAGCATAAACGACTGTCACTTCTGAAAACAAAAAAAAAGGCTTTAAAGTCTACAACATAGACAATTTTGGCAAGACTGGTTTAAAACTGTCAGATGGATGTAGTTACTAGGTTAGCAGCTCTACTGAGACTGTTGTGAAAATATGAAATAGATCCATTGTTGTTGAGTTTATTCACTGTTAAAGGGTTTAGCATTTTTAATTCTATCTTTCCTATAATGCAAGAAAAAACCTGGACAAGTATAACCACCAAAAAATTTAGTACAATATGAAACAGTCGAGAGCCTTGTGATACAAGTGAGCATTAAAAACCAAGGTAAAATTAATGGGATAACAGTCCATGGAGGCTTGGGTTACAAAACAATTTTGCTTGTAACTATGATACTAGGAATGATTCAAGAATTTCTAGTTTGCTGAATTAAGGTATGAATTAAGGACTATAAGAACACATCATGTGGAATAAGAAAAAAATGGATCTGTCTGAAATTATCTGATCATTTTTGGTGCTTATAAATCATAGCATAGCCAAGCATACAGCCCACGGAGGAAGTGACAAATGGCAATCAACTTGACAGACGGATGGACCAGATAATGACGTCAGGAAGATGCAGAAATAGAGGGCTGGGTAGTTAACAGAAAAGAAAAGTGAGGAAGATGATGCTAGTAGGAGTTATGAAAAGACATCTAGCGGAGTAGTTAATGATGATACTGACAAATGAAGACTAGAGCAGAGAGTGACAATTGAAAGCAGAATATAAATAGATAATAAAGAGAGACAGCAGACCTGCTAAAAGTAAGGAAAATCAACTGATCAATCCATTCATGTTTATTTGGTTGCTGCTGTGTGCAAATCCTATGCTAGGCACTGCTGTGGACGGAACAGAGCATAACGCAGTAAATCCCTCAAGGAGCTTACAATCGAGAGAAAGAGATAAAACATACACATATAAAAAGGGTAACTCACAATACAAGGAAGCAAATGATAGTTGCCAAGAGAGTGGTACATAGAACAGGAACTAGGACTCAGAGGCAGAAGACATCACTTTCAAGTAGGCTGATCAGAGGGGAGAGGGAGCCTAGCTAGGGCGTGAAGGACTGAGAAGGTGCAGGAGAGCAGGAAAGTCATACTAGAGAGGTGGAGAGAAGAGCGAGAACAAAGGTGTGGAGGTAGGGCTGTAGGAGCACAATTTGGGGACAATAACTAGAACAATCTATAGATAAAATAGGGTCAGATCATGAGGAGCCTTGAATATCAGGCTAAGGAGCTTGAACTTTATTCCAAAGCAGGCTTGCACAACATACAGCCCGCAGGTTATTTGTGACCTGCCAAAGTATTCCGGGCCACCCAAGAAAAATGTAGGGTTGCCACTGCACACTCTCCTGTTTGTTACAAGACCCATGGCAAGCAACCATCATCAGTCTGTCTCTAGTCTAAGCTATCGGTAGCCGAAGAAGTTTAGCCTGTTTTAATTTTGGCCCCTACCTACTGCCAAGTTGTGCAGGTCTGTTCAAAAGACAATCAAAAAACATTAAGGGCTTCTAGCCAGGAAAATGACACAACAGATGCAGAGTTTAGGAAGGTTAATCTAGTGATGGTTCATGTGACAGGCTGGAATGGAGAAAGAACAGGGGCAAAGACCCCAGTGAGGGGGCTGTTACAGAGGTGCAACAATGCGATGATAAAGGTCTGGCCTAAGAGAGTCACTGTGAAAACAAAAATAGAAAGGATAGTTATGTAAAACATCATCGATGAGAGAAATTTTGTGCCAAACTGAACATCCAAGGAAGGAGAGGAGTGAGAAAGAAGAGTTAGAAATGACATCAACCAAGGCTCCTAGCACCACACCCCACCAGGAGGGGGAATGACAGCACTACTGACAACAATCAGGAAGTCAGGAGGAAGAGCCTGTTTTGAGGGAAACGTACTATGATCAGTTGCTGACATACTTTCTTAAGTCTTCACCAACATTTTTAAGTTCATGAAAGGTAAAATATAGTAAACCTTTGATTAACAGGAACCTAACTAACCAGATCACTCACTTAACTGGTATTATTCTTTTTTTCCCCAGGTGGAGGCAATGGTATAAGCAAAGATACTGAAGTAGGAATATGCAAAGCACGCTTTGGGGGCAGTAAGAGTTTGTTCATTCTTCCAACAATCCCACCCTCCTACTGCCACATAACACTCCACTTTCAGGAGAAAGAGGAAACAGGCCGAGTTCCTATCCCAAAGAAGGGCAATGCAAATTACCTAATAATTGTGCTCATTTCACACACCAGCAAGGTTATGCTTAAGATTCTGTAAGCTAGGCTTTAGTTATAAGTGAACCAAGAGGTACTAGAAGAGCAGGCTGGTTTTCAAAGAGATAGAGGCACTAGAGACCAAATTACCAGTATTCACTGGATTATGAAGAAAGCAAAGGAGTTCCAGAAAAAACATCTACTTCTACTTCATTGACTATTCTAAAGCCTCTGACTGTGTGGGTCACAACAAAATGTAGCAAGTCCTCAAAGAGATGGGAATACCAGATCATTTTACTTGTTTCCTGAGGAACCTGATTGCAGTTAGAATCAAACATAGAACAACTAATTGGTTTAATATTTGAAGAGTATGACAAGACTGTATATTGTCACCTTATTCGTTTAACTTAAATACAGAGTATATCATGTGAAATGCCAGACTAGATGAATCAAAAGCCAGAATTACGGTTGCTGGGAGAAATATTAATAATCTCAGATATGCAGACAATACCACTCTGATGGCAGAAAGTGAAAGGGAATTAAGAATATTCTTGATGAGAGTGAAAAAGGAGAGAGTAAAAGCTGGCTTGAAGCTTAACATAAAAAAACTAAGAACTTGGCAACTGGCATCACCTCTAGGTAAATAGAGGGAGAAGGAATGGAAGCAGGGTTGGATTTGATATTCTAGGGCTCAAAGATGACTGCAGACAATAATGGCAGCCATAAAATTAAAAGACGCTTGCTCCTTGGAAGGAAAGCTATGGCAAATCTGGACGCATACTAAAAGGCAGAGACATCACCTTGCAGAAAAAACTATGGTTTTTCCAGTAGCAATGTATAGCTGTAAGAGTTGAACTTAAAAGGAAAGCCGAGCACCGCAAAATTGACACTTTTAAATTATGGTGCTGGAGACTTCTGAGAGTCCCTTGGATGGCAAAAAGGTCAAATCAGTCAATACTTAAATTAATTCAGGCTTTTCACTGCAAGGGCGAACACTGAGGCTGAAGCTTAAATACTCTGGCCACATAATGAAAAGATGAGACTCACTGATGTTGGGAAAGACTGAAGGAAAAAGGAAAAGGGGATGGCAGAGGATGAGATGGATAAATTGTAACATGGAAACAACAAACATGAATTTGGACAGACTTCGGGAGATAGTAGAGAATAAAAGGGCCTGGTGTGGTATGGTCTATGGAGTCATGAAGAGTCAGACATAACTACATAACAAAAACAACAACAGATATCTTAATTTAGCAACAGTAACAGACACTTTTTTAGTTAACTTTCCATTAACAAGAAAATGAACCACAGCATCCCATCCCCCAAACTTTCTGCTCAATTGAGGCTTTGTGTTTTAGAATTGCTTAAAAATGGGACAAAGTCCCATTCTGATGAGGAGTCTTGAGTTCTTAAAAACTATGTCAGGACAGCAAAAGCTCTGGTAGGTTCTCCCAAACTAGAAAAGCTCTGAGTATGGCCTAGCTACAGACTGATTCTGCTTTCTAATGATCAGCCTATTTAGGAAGGAGGAAATCTCATCACCAGTAGATTAGCCACTTGGTGATTAATTCTTTGACCAAGGCAACTCGTAAAAATGGAAAATACAAAATGGCGCTCAATCTTTCCACTTAAATAGTAACAGTGGCTGATAATGGAACTAAGAATCATAGTTTTTACCCTGTCACAAACATTAATTTATACATTGGCACTCTTATGAGATCCTTGTTCAATGAATGGATGGATAAATATTGTACCCATCTCGATTTTCTCGCTATAAATGAAATGAGAAGGCAAAAAGAAGTTGCAGATAAATAGAAAGTTCACAAATTTTCCATGGAAAGGAAAATAAAGGAGTTGGTGGAGTTGGTTTTACCATGCATCTAAAGGCAACAAGAAATATCATTTCCTAAGACATTTAGTTATCTCATGTTTGCAAGAAGACCACTATGAAAATGATGGTAACTTCCATTCCCATCTCTGTTACAGAAGATGGTAAGACAGAGAAAGTCTACTCATCAATCAATCAACAAGTATATAAGAGACTAGGACTGGGGCCAGGTTTTAAGGATAGAAAGATAAAGGGGTTAACAGTTCCTACCCTCAAGAAGCTTGCATTATAACATGGGAGACAAGGAAAACAAAACAGACACAAGGTAACCTTGGAGGGAAGGCACTAGCACTTGGAAGGACCAGGAAAGAATTCATGAAGGAGGTGCTACTTTAGTTAAGTCTTGAAAGAAACCAAGGATTCCAAGAAGTGGAAGTGAAGAGGAGGAACACTTCAGGCATGGCCAACAACCAGGCTAAAGAACTCACTAAGACCAACCCTCCAAATCAAAATATATTTTGCTACCTGATGACTTCAATGCATATATGTAGGAAAGGATGACAAAAATGTGTTAGAAAAGTTGGTTTAAGGGTAAGAAGACAAGCCAAAGGTCTCTGGACTACACAGAAGCCTCACCCATATTTATCATTAACCCTTTCAGGAAAATAAAAGAGCTAACTAATGGACAGCTGTCATTCTCCACTGGTATCCACATATTGTAGGCAGTAGATGGATGAGTCATATAAGATGCATAGGCAGTGAAGGGTTGTGATATACATTGTTGGAGGGAGTAGTGACATGAAGAAGATCACAAATCCATTGGGATACTGGGAGAATGGACCCACTTTTCCTTTGGTCAGCAAAAGAGCTCTGATGAAAACAGACTGAATAACTTTGAAAAGCATTCAATCTATCAACTATCATTTGCTAAGCCTTCTATTAAGATAAAGTTAAATGATCGTTCTCAGAATCATGAGTTTGTCTCATCATCCTACTATCTTCATCAATTATCATCCTCTCAGTGCTTCTTTTTTTAAAGCTTTAAAATTTGACATACTTGTACACAGATAATTCAAGATAGATTTTTCAAATTCTAATCATTTGGGAATGCTGTTTTCCACTGTTCTCATGTACAATGTGAACTGCCAGAATTTTTGGAAATTTACCTATCATAAAAGTCCAAACAAAGCCTTCCTATCTATTTCTTTGTTGTATCGTAAAAATGGTATGAAATCAAACTGCACTCTTTTCCCATAAAATGTTAATGAGAAGTTTACTGATGTTATAAAACGGCTGACTTGAAATGACCTGAAATAATCTCCAATTCAAGAAAACAGGCTTTGATTTTCCTTCCAGGGACAAAGTTTTCAGACAATGGATAAATAGCTGAAATGATACATGAGCATTGTGAAAGTGGCAAAAGCACAAAAGAAAGGCCTCTAAGAGACTGAGTAAATGCTCTAGAGATCATCAAGAAGCACAGGGTAAGCAGGCACTGGAGGGTCAATCAGAAGCTACTGGATTCACCAAAGTTGTAAACTTACGAGACACTTCGAACTGAGCATGTTGAGAAAAGACTGAAATCTTTGGAAGTGCAGTCAGGATCACAGCAGCAGTTAACATCACATTCTTCTACTAACAAGTCACACACACAGAGTGCAGAAACTAGAGAAAACAGAGCAGGTCAACAAAGAGTTACACATATTGGTAGTAATGACCACAGGCATTTTAATACACAATGTACTTTAAGAAAGGGGCCAGATTTGTGATTTCATTGGTAGAGAGAACTCCCAGGTGAGAAAACTCCCTCCACCAACACAGGTCAGCACCTTCTCTGGGACTTACAGGCTTAAAGAGTAGCCTAGAAGAGATTCAGGGACTTGCCCTGGGTCATGCCCTGAATGTTTCAGAGGCAGAACTTGAACCCAAATCGTTCTGGCTTTGAAGCTAGCTATCCACTATGACATGCTGACTTTCTACCATATACTTTACTAAGATAAAATCTGATGACTTCCAAAGTCACATATAAATAATTCTAATGCTGTTTTTAGAGGACTGACTGTTACAAGTTAACCAGTTGGAGCAGGAATATACCAGATTGTAATTTTTAAAATCTATTCATATATTTTGTTTTGATATTAGATACTTTCCCAACATCTAAAGAATGGCCCCCTTCAAAGTATATTTCCTGTTTTACATGATTACACACATATAACCTATATCAGATTGCTTACTATCTCAGGGAGGGGACAGGGAAGAAAGGGAGGGATAGGATTTGGAACTCAAAACTTTAAAAAAAAAAAAGTACATGCCAAAAAAAACCCAAAAACACAACAACAAAATATATTTCCCCACAGTATATTGTTAACAGAAAGGAGGGGGGCATTTCTTAATTTTTGATAGTACAGGAGCAATACTAATCATTGTATCTGACCAGAGTTCTATTGTCTCTCAATGTCTGACTTCATTTAAAGTGTTGTAGACAGTGCTTACACTAGACCTTATTTGGGGAGTGAAATTTATGCTTTATCATAAGGATATCCAACTTTTAAAAAATAATGATGAATGAAGAAACTGAGGTCTAACTGAGGTTCAACTCTTTGGAACAAAGAGATGGGGTATCTATATGAAAAAATATTCCAAATCACCAATAAGAAGAAAAATTAAAGTTAAAACAATTCAGAGGTTCCATGTTATACCCATCAGATTGGCAATGATGACAAATGAAGAAAATAGCAATTGATGTAAAGGTTGTTGGGAGGTTGGGCAAACTAAAGCACTGTCAGCGGAGCCATAAATCAGTCCAACTATTCCGGAAAACAATGTAGGATTATAAGCAAAAAGCCACTGAACTGTACATGACCTTTGATCCAGGAGTATTACAATTATGCACATATTCTTAAGGAGGTAAAGGACAGAAAGAACCCATATACACAAGAATATCACAGTGGCACGTTTTGCTGTAGCAAAGACCTGGATAGAAAATAGGTCCTCATCACCTAGAGAAAGTATGAACGAATGTATGGTGCTAAATGAACATAATGGATTTTATTGTGCCATAAGAAATGACTATGAGATTCTGAGAAATACAGACTGAAATAAGTTGAACCAGGAGGACAATTTAGGGGATGGCCAAAATCATAGTATAAGAGAAAAACAACACACAAAATAAGAACCTCAATAACACAAGTTTGAAGGGAAAAAGGTACAGATAAGGACACAAGTAGAGCAATTTTGTTCCCTTATTTAAAGTAACATGTGGGTGTATACAAGTCTACACATGGGCCATGGCAGGCACAGGCCACACACCTGCAGTCCCCGCTACTAAAGAGGCCAAAGCTGGTGGATTGCTGGAGTTGGGGAGTTCTGGGGCACAACATAGCTAAAGTCCATTTGGTGTCTAAGTCTGGAACCAATATGGTGAGCACCTGACATCACAGGCACCCTCAGAAGAGGGAAAATGACTCAGGATGCAAAGAGACCAGTTTAAGCTACAGTACAATCGATGGTGAGGTAGTCCCATGAGTGACCACTAAACTGTCAGTCTTTCCCCTCTCCCTCCCCAAGATGGCACACAATCTGATATAGGCTATACATATACATTGCTATTAAACATGTTTTCACATTAGTGATGTTATAAGGAAGAATTAGAATCAATAGAAGGAACCATCAGAAAGAGTTAACAAAACAAAACAGAAGAAAAAAATAGCAAATAGTATGCTTCGATCTGTGTTCAAACTCCATAATTCTTTCCCTGGATATGGATAGCATTTTCCATCATGAGACCTTTGGAGACGTCTTTGATCTTTGCATTACTGAGAAGCGCTAAGTCTATCAATGTTAGTCATCACACAACCTGGCTGTCACTGTGTACAACGTTCTCCTGGTTCTGCTCACTTCACTCAACATCAATCCATACAAGTCTTTCCAGGTTTTTCTTT